CGGGATGTCGCCAGCTTGCAGCGCATGCCGATCGAGTGGGTCCAGGCCGTCATGCCCGTCCTGATGCGGATGTCTCTCAGGCACGAGCAGGGCCTGAACCAGCTCGAGGCCGCCAGCTACAGGCACGTCCAGTTGCCCACCAAGCACGACGTGGTCCAATCGATGCAGCTGACCGCGAAGTACTACGGCACGGAGGCCGCCAGGATCAGGAAAGAGAAGCGCGAGCAGCTGGAGTCAGGCCAGTCGGTCGACGAGCTGGTGGCCCTGGGCATCCCCCACCCGCACGTGTGGATGGCGCTGGTGGGCGCCCTCGTCGCACAGGGCGAAAAGATAGGTCAGCAGAACCTGGCGGCGCTTACGCAGTATCAGCAGAAGGTCAGACAGGAGCGCCCGACCAACAGCATCCTTGCGGACGACATTCGCCACTGTCGAATGCAAAGCACTCACAATGGAGAGATGACGAAGATCTGGATCGCGGTGGACCCTCCCACGCTCGAGAATACAGTGGTCAGCTCTATGGTGCAGCTGGGGGGGGGGATGCACAAGCATGGCACGCCGCCGAGGAGTCACAACGCCCGCCTCCTCCAGCTGCACCTCGACGGGATGTGATTGTTGCTACGACGGACAGAGATACTACCACCCCCTCGAGGCCGACGTGGGCTCAAATGACCCAGAGGACTTCGGCGAGTCTGCGACCTAGGGGTTCCCCGAGAGTACCTCCCTCCTCGATCCAGGCTACGACTCCGTCACTTCCCGCGCCCCCGACTCAGAGGAGACCTGAGCCACCTGTGAGCCATAGCGAGCCCAGAGAATCTAGAGTAGGTCAGAATAACCCCACCCCCTCACCTGAGACTCCCCTCCCTCTTTCGACGATCCTGAACCTCCTGGGCCTTCAGCGCTGAGCTCCCCGCGAAACTTTTTGGCGTCCCGTTTGTGTGGGATGCGGGGCCTCGGCGCCCAGGTTTTGTCGCTCTGGCGTCCTGGTTTTCCCTCGCGGCTCCAGAGAGCCTGCCCGCTCGGACGTCCTGGGGGCCTGGGTAGTGTCTTTAGCTTGTTTTTCTCTTTTCCCGTTTACAGCCCCGCCCTTCGGCCTGCCTGTCTTTAAAACGTGGCAACCCGGCCGTTGAAGGGGGTGGGTGGGAGCCTGGTGCCTTCGAGGCCACGCGCGGCCATGATACGAGCCGCGGCGCACTCTAGAGAGGAGCCCAGCGAAGGCCAGTGCTACGAACTGATGCTAGTGGCTGGCACCTCTCTGAAGAGCTTCACACACACACACACTCCTCCTCCTCCTCCTCCTCCTCCTCCTCCTCCTCCTCCTCCTCCTCCTCCTCCTCCTCCTCCTCCTCCTCCTCCTCCTCCTCCTCCTCCTCCTCCTCCTCCTCCTCCTCCTCCTCCTCCTCCTCCTCCTCCTCCTCCTCCTCCTCCTCCTCCTCCTCCTCCTCCTCCTCCTCCTCCTCCTCCTCCTCCTCCTTCCCCGCCTCCTCCTCCTCTATGCCCTACCCCGCTCCTCTCCGCCCTCGACTGGTCGGCGGGCTGCTGCGACCACATGCGAGGACGGGTCTCGCGCGAGCACCGCTGGGAGCAGGGAAGGGCCCTGCTCCCCCCCCGTCATGCAGAGGGTTGGCTCCCGCCGCCTCCTTCCGAGGTTTGCCTTCCACCCCAGACGAGAGCTGCGACCGCAACGCGGCTCGGGTGCCCTATCGTGCCAGTCCTCCTCCTCCTCATCCTCCCCCTCATCCTCCTCCTGCTCCTCCTCCTCCTCCTCCTCCTCCTCCCTCCTTCTCTCCTCCTCCTCCTCCGCTCTCCTCCTCCTCCTCCTCTCCTCCTCCTCCTCCTCCCTCCTCCTCCTCCTCCTGCTCCTGTTCCTCTTCTCCTCCTCCTCCCCCTCCCCCTCCTCCTCCCTCCTCCTCCTCCTCCTCCTCCACCTCCTCCTCCTCCTCCTCCTCCTCCTCCTCCTCCTCCTCCTCCTCCTCCTCCACCTCCTCCTCCTCCCCCTCCCCCTCCCCCTCCACCTCCAGATCATTGGTGATTCGGGTCAGCTTACACAGCACGCGTCTCCATGGGCACGCAGGTTTGTAGCAGATGTCGAATCGCTCCGTCAACTGGGGGGGACTCAGACAAAATCGACGACTGGGACTCCCGACCTCTGGCGATGTTTGACGACCCTGACCTTTCAGACTGGTTTGGCAGGCTGGATATGAGCGAACTTCGGGCGACATCCTGGACAGTTAGTGTTCCTCCCCCAGGGTTCCAGGATCCTGAGGCCCCTGCAGAGCTCCAACAAGATCCGCGTGACGATGATGACGATGAGTACGCATGATGTGTTCGAGGATGTGGACGTAGATTTGCAACGCAACGGCAACTTACTAGTCAGCTGCAGCAAGGGCACGGGCTTCAGAGCACATTGGGCCTCCTAACTACGGATAATCAATGCTTCGTCTGTGGACAGGTCTTTGAGGCTCGCAACTCGGCCTACAAGCACGTTAAGACATCGTTCCGCATAGGCATATGCGTTATGGGTCGGTCTAATACGTTTCGCACAGCAGGAGACGGAGCTCATACTACGTACACGTGTGGACGATGTAATATATCTGGGCTCGAGCGCGACGCACTACATCTACATTACCGTGAACACTTCACTCTGCTCCCGATCGTCTGCGATGCCAGATGGACCAGCAGCGGCGGAGCCCCCAGCAGTGGCGGCGGCGAGCCAAGGGCAGGGACCAGCTCTGCCAACTTGGGGTCTACCTCTCGGCAGGCCTCGCGACGAGGACGGAGAACCAGCGGCCAAGAGCCCGCGCAAGTGGCAGCCCGAGAAGGTCAAGAAGGACACCCACAAGACCATGGAGACCACGCAGCTCGGCCCGTTCAAGGCGCTGATGCGCGTACTGACCAGGCTATGCATCGCCAACTCGCGCGACGTAGCCGACCTGATCGGCGCCTCGTTCAGCTGTTTTCTGCTCCCCGCTGCACACTTCATCGTGAGTGCGCTGCAAGAGGCGGGCAAGCTCTACTCCAGCACGTGCAAGGAGAAGGGCAAGGAGCATGGGCTGGGCCCTCCGTGGCCGCACATGTGGATGGCGCTGGTCAGGGCTCTCCTCCTCAACACGAACACCCCGGAGAAGGCCAGAGCAGCTCTTCAGGTCTACTGGGACTCGAACATCGCTCACGGCGACAGCAACCTGCAGGTGCTGCAGGATCAGGTGAGGTACTGCCGCATGAGGCCCACGTATTACAATCGGAAGAAGAAGGAGAAGCCCACCATGTTCAAACTTCAGTTCATGCTCTCAGCGGAGGTCCAGACGGCGATGGTCACTTGGAACGGGCAGCAGGTCGGCAGCGTGCACAAAGCCATTTGCCAGAGCCTGGTCGCGCACGGGGGCCAGTACAAGCCTGAGGGCCCCCCCAAGGGTGGGCTAGAGCGCGAAGCGGAGCGCCTCCTCGGGAAGCTCGGCATGCAGAAGGGCCAGGACGAGCAGCTCAGCGGGGACGAGGACGAGGAGCTGGGTTAGCTACGCTGGTTGCTATCAAAGGATCCGCTCGTATGGTCCAGATGGCTCGTGATGGCCTTTTACAGCATACTGGCCTACACAATCTGCAGAATGGGTGTGCTGAGCCAATCTTGAGTTATCAGACTCCGACTGGGCAGGAATTCAGAGTTTAATATGGAGATCAGTTGCACTTCACTATGTCTCTGATTGACCTGGCCAGGCGAACGTCTCAGGTTCGAGCTATGCAGATGCGGGTGGACCCTCAGATTGCAATTGTATCTTCTGGTGACCAGGCCCATCATAGACTCGTGAGCACGCGCGTCACTTCTGACTTGTCTCAGTTGCCTTCGCAAGCTTTGGGCGATGATGACAGGACTTCCAATCCCCAGCCATGAGGTGGGACTGGGTGGCCTTCGGGACCGGAGGTCATTTTCTGTTCTGAGCCCATTTTCTATTGCAGGTGCACACGTGCAGCATGCGTGTGTGTGTGTGTAGTCGCATCGGTTCATTTCATGATACATGCAAGTGGCCTCTCGACGTCGCTTGTACGCTCAGCTGTGGAGCGGTGCCTAGCCGAGGCCTTCAGGTTTCCCCCTTCCCGGAGGCTCTCGGAGTTGGCCAGAGGCATCCCCCCGCAGAGCGATCTTGACAGACACTCTTGACAGATGTACATCCAGGCTCCGCTTTCTCTTAAGTGTAGCATTGCGTTGCCCAGTCAGGCTGCCAGTGGATCGTAAGTGTGTCGTATCGTATCGTATCCTCGTCCTCCTCCTTCTCCTCCTATTCCTCATGCTCCTTATCCACTTCCTCCTCCTCCACCTCCTCCTCCATCTCCTCCTCCTCCTCCTCCTCCTCCTCCTTCCTCCTCCTCCTCCTCCTCCTCCTCTTCTTCCTCCTCCTCCTCCTCCTCCTCCTCCTCCTCCTCTTCCCCCCCCCCTCCTCATCTTACTCGCTTCTGTCAGGGGGATGGCTGGGCCTTCGGCGGTCCGCCTCTTAGGGCGGGATACGGGTGCCACACGCCTGCACCCCCAACAACCGCCAGCTCGTTTCGCTGGAAGATGCCCACCCTCTGGTGAAGCCCCGTTCGATGGGTGCTGCTTCATGCGTGCGCGGGGCCCACGCTATGCATTAAAGATCTGTGAACCTTGCGCGATGGTGCCAGCTGCATGGATCGGGGAATGTAACCCCCGAAGCATGGGCCAATGCCGCAGCATTTGGCGACGGAACTCGCCGATGTTGTCGGGAAACGGGACCCGTCGCTAATCAACCGACCTCCTCCCCGACCCTCCGTTCGATTCCCTCCACCCTTCTCCCTCCTCCTCCTCCTCCTCCTCCTCCTCCTCCTCCTCCTCCTCCTCCTCCTCCTCCTCCTCCTCCCTCCTTTCACCCTCTCCCGCTCCCGTATCTCCTCCCTTATCATCCTCCCTCCTGCTCCGTCTTTCTCGTCCCACTCTTTCATCTCCCCCTTATCTCCTCCTCCTCTTTTTCCAATCCTAACTCCTGATTGTTTCTCCTCTTCAACCCCATCGAACGGACCAGTGCGAATCCGTCCCGATGGCTGGCCTCGCATCTGGCGGTCGCGCATGACTCTCGCAATGAGCATCCCCGAGGTCCGTCCTCTGCCCTCCCCGCCCTCGCCCTGACAGAGGAGGATCAGGCGGAGGAGGGGGAGCAGGATGAGTCACCACCTGCCCAGCCCCCCGCAGATCACGACCATGGACATGGGACCAGGAGGAGCGGACCACGTGGTCAACTGTCGGGCACACTGGGGACGCCAGCGCCGACCTGCTCCGTGGGGTGATCCTTTGCCTCCGCCAGCCTCTGGCAAGCTTCGAATAGAGTTCCTGGTCGACTTGCCGCCCTCGGCTTACGGCCATCGTGGGGATTCGGCGGGCCTGCCGCCAGCTGCCGCAAGAGGGGTGGAGATCGGCCCCTCGCTCCCTCGAGGAGGAGGCACTTCTGGGAGCGGCCCGTGCAGCACGCTGCGGGGTGCGAGACCTCCGCGGTGCGACGCCGTCCCAGGTCCTCGGCGAGGACTCGTGAGCTGGGCGCAATGCGCGCTCTCAGGCTGAGGTCTAGTCTCAGTTCGGGCACGTCCTCCTGCAGGCGGACTTTGGGACGACAATCAAAACATCGAAAACTGCTCCCAAAATGGTCCAAAAGGGTTAGTCCCGAGTCGATGTTCTACCTATTTGTGAGCTTTCCCCCTGTAGAGGGACATGCCCGACTTAAGTCTAGCCGTGCATCGCGACAGCTGTCTCGCCAGGCAGGGCTCGCGCACTCCTCAAACTTCTGGAGGAGGGAAGAGTCGGGGGCGGTCGAGAGGGGGGCGTCCAAGAGGGGGGGGCGCAAATCATGGCCGGCGTCACGTGCGCGGGGAGGGGGGGGCTGGGTACGTATTGAAATAAGGCGAGGCGCCATGAAACCTGGGGGGATCTCATGGCCCCCGCCGTGATGTCCACCCCCCCCTAGTCATCACCCCCCTCTTTGCCGCCCCCGAAAGAATCCGCCGATCCGGCGTGTGAGTTTCTGAGAGCGTGGACTTGAGCTCGCTCAAGCTTCGCTCTGCAGGGGGGGGCGTACGTTATTTCCGACGTCAGTTCCGACGTTTTGCGGTACCCGGGGACAGGTTTTAGGGTTTAGGGTTTAGAGTTTAGGGTTTACTGGATTGGCCGGAGGCCAGCCCAATAAAGAGGGAGGCGGAGGGCCCCCGTCACACAGGAGACCAGTACCACAGCTTTGGGGGTACCATCGCCTGCGAGCCTTCTGGGCGAACCGCTGATGAACAGTGTCTTACGTCAGGTTCGTGCCGTGCCGACTGCGGCGTTGGTTTCTGACACCGCGGGGATCGTTCAACCTTGAACGATCGGCCGCCTCCGAAACGTCCAAACCGTTCCACATCGAACGATGCTGGGTCGCCCGCGGCGTTCCACGTTGGACGCCGCCCCCGGGGTCGCCGCCAGTCGACACGACACGAACCTACCGTATTCTATTACACGGAGCTGTGCTACAGCGCGCAGGCTCAGCCCATCAATTTCGCGACTCGCGGGCCCGTGTGCCAACACATCACGTAGCCGTTGGAGCCGAAACCGGAAACGATGAGGACCCGCGTTGTCCCGTTCGCCCAGCGGAATAATGGAACTCGCCCATGTCTGTTCACAGGCCGAATGCCCGTCCAGACCTCTAGCTTCCCCTCCTCGACGACAGCATCATGTACAACGTCTGCGTTCACTCCGTGGGTGTTCGCGAAGCCGTCGCGAAGCCGTGCGCAGCAAAGGTGTGCTGACACTCCACGGGTATCCCCAATGTGATCGAATACCTTTTTAATCCGCCGAGCCATCGGGCCAGAGGCGCATTTGATCCTCCAAAAGGGTGGGCCAGCGGGTCCGCTCGCGCGAAGGCGCCCTTGTGGGGTCAGCGGGCAGAACCCCGGGCGAAACCACCCCAACCAAGAGCGGGCGAGATCGCCCAGACGCGCACCACGAGGGCGGGCCCGGATGTGGCACGCTTGAAGATGGCCCCACGGTGGTGCAAATGTAGCCCCGATGTGGCCCATAATGGACCATCTGTTTCAGTGAGCTTCAAAAACGATGCACGATGGCCGAAGAAACACTCCTCGGAGTCCCCCCGATGTGGCCAACGTAATGGACACAGCATCTTTCCTTCCCGTTTCAGCCGACACCATATGATGTGGGCTGCTGGATGTCAGAACGAATCAGCGCCACTCCGTCCCAGACCGCCCAAGTGCCCGGTGGTCCAGCCCCCAATCCCAGAGGTCGCCGGGACTCCAGCCGCGACACATGCCAGAGCATGGCAGGACAGCGACAGATGAAAACGACAGGCCATGACAGAGCCATGATGAGCTGACCCGCTAAACGAAAGCGATGGGCGGCAATCTACTTTCCAACAGCGGACAGATATAGGGTGCTAGACTTCAAAACGAACGAGCACCAGTACGAACCAAGAAGTCGGAGGAGGAAATATTTGGGGGAAAGAGAAGCCAACCCGCGTATGCCCTCACCCACCGCCGTGTCCTCAGTCTCCTCCCTTGTTTCTGTTGGCGTCAACTCATCAATCGTGTGCTTGATAAGTTCGTGAAGTCCACGGTTGGGGGTCGCTCGAGTCATTCTATTTCAGCAAAGAGAGCTCGCACTCAGGGGCTCGTACTTAGTTGGGCGGGAATTCGAACTGACGGTTGCGATGTTCACGCTCTTGTTTTGGTGCTCTATGGATGGTGCTGTATGGCTGATGCCCTACGATGCCTTTGATGGTTGCGAATTCCGCGTTTCTGTCCCTGTGTTCCAAGGGAGGTGCTCAATGGCTGGTATCCGGTGATGCCTCTGATGGTCGCGATGTTCGTATTTTCGCCCTTGTATTCCATGGGTGGTGTTCTATGGCTGGCGCTCTGTGGCGCTTTTGATGGTTGCAGCGTTCTCGCCTTGGTGTTCTATGGGTGGTGCTCAATGGCTGCCGCCCTAAGATGCCTTTGGTGGCTGCGAGTTTCGCATTTTTGTCCTGTTGCTCTACGCAAGACCTCTATGGTTGGTGCCCTCGGGTGCTTTTGCTGCTGGCGGTTTCCGCGTTCTTGCCCTGGTGATCTACGGGTGCTGCCCTATGATGCCTCTGATGGTTGCGATGCTCGCGTTTTTCCCGTGGTGCTCCATGGTTGGTGCCCGCTGACGCTGTTGATGAAGTTAGCGCGCGTCGTAAGCTCAATGACGTATCGTTTGGGGTCGGGGTCTAAGCCGACACCGCTCGATGTCTTTGGCCTCTTCACCACAGCCGTTTCCGAGGAGCCTCTCGGGCGAAGACGCTGCCGAATTAGGGAGGGCGCGCCGCCGGCTGACCGAGGGGGAGGGGCAGGGGGCTTGGACCCAACCCTCCCTCTCTCCCTTCGTCGGTCCGCCATCCCAGGACCACCTCCCCTTTCCCGATCCATCGCCCTGGCCCCATCCCCCCTCTCGACGGGGGGGGTCGCCACCGCCTCGCTCCCCACCCTTGGGGAGGATGGGGCGAGGTGCCCTCTTTCCGAAGAAGAGGAGGGCGCCCGTGCGGTTCTTCGTTTGCACGACTGCACCGGCTCTTCCACCGATTTAGCGGCTCTGAGGAGCGGAAGGCAGTACTGTTCGTCCTAGCCTGCCCTTCGCGCGCAGCCCGTCGAGCATCGCCGCGGGGGGCCGGGCAACAAACTTTGCGCGTCATCTCGAGCTCAGCCACGGCAGCCACGTATGGGCAAACTGGTGGACAAAACAGGGATTATGGTGATGATGATGATGATGATGATGATGATGATGATGATGATGATGATGATGATGGCTGTGACGGCATGAGCGATGCATTTTGTCATTCAGTCGGCAAAGCAGTGTCTCGGCCCCTTGCGAGATTTGCACGAAATCGACATATTTCGTTCACATGCTCTTGCCGCGCTTGTCGCAGACGTCGCAGCGCTTGCCCGCCTTGCCGCCACAGACGTCGCCTTCGGCGCGGTTGCCCGCGGCGCCCTTGTCGGTCTGGCCACTCTCGTCGTCATTGCTGGCGTCGCTGGCGTTCCTGCTCGCGGCCTCTTTGCCGCATTGATCGCCCCTGTCGGTCATTAACGCGAGAAGCAGGCAAGTTGCTTCCCGCGAACCTGCGATCGACTGCGTCAGAATTTTCATGAGATCGTCGGCTGACCAAGATTGAATATGCGGGGCGATACTTCAGGTAATGCAAGCTTGGCCCCTGGGCTACTCAGAAAAGCGACCAGATCCGAGTTCTCGACGGCAACCTTGTCGTCAATGCTGGACTTTGTGGGGTCGCTCGAGACAACTGCAGTGTTCCCAGAATCTGAAGGGGCAGTCACGGCGTCAACGCGCACCAAAGATCACAAACGTGCGTTGACTCACGCGCTCCTGATTGAACCAACGATAATAGTTGCGCCATAACGATTACGGAAACGGTGCGCAACGCGCAACGTTGAGGTGGTCGACAAGGCATGCCCACATAGGGCCACGAAGCGCATGAGGGGCGTGCCTGAGTAAGCGCAGCGCCGCCATACTGACCTTCCTGTGGGGCCCCTCCGGTGGAGCCCCATACGAGGACAGACAGGGCGGCTGGGAACGCAGAAACGAAACACGCCAGCGTTGACTGTCGATGGCGAATATATAAGAGCTGGAAATATAGAGAAGCATAAACAAGGTTAAATACATCCTAACACAGCCATGCGAAAACGGTGTGACAACATGTGCTTGCGTTGGTTTTGCGCCAATCGGAGGCTAACAACATTTAGAACACATGGTCTCGTGATGCGAATATGCTCTAACCATGTGTTTCCATGTGTTCTTGCTTTCGATCAGCAATCTTTTCGCATCCTTTTAACGCGGTGTTCTTAGGATGTCCCTCGCCTTCTGTGTTGCTTCAGCAGATTAGGAATGTGTTGCATTTTCGCCTACTCGCCCCAGGCGGCGCGAGGGCCCTTGCGCGGTCTTCATATTGTTCGCTGGTCTACTGCTGCGCATCGATGCTGAAATATTTAGAGCGAGACAAAGAGAGAAAGAGAGGCAACTATACCTATATATATATGTATATGGTATATATATATGTATATATATATATGTAAATGTAGATTGTTAGAAAACGAGAGAGAGAGAGAGAAGGATAATGTGAGCATAAAAAGAAATCACGCAAACACCGTCAAAAGGAAGATGATACAAACGATGCGCCCTACGGGTTACACCCCCCCGTCCCTGGGTTTCCGAGGCCCAGAGATTGCCCCAAGAGGGCTACCAGAGAGCCCCCAAGAGTGCCCCACTACTCCCCAAGAGAGCCCCAATGGGGCTCCGAGAGAGCTTCCAGGGAGGGTCCAGAATCAGCCAGAGAGCAAGACACCTGTTCTCGCCCCCTGCAGATCAGCTCCTGAGGCGCAGGGGCTGCCCCGAAGGGGCAGCCCCGGAGCGCAGGACGGGGCCGAGTCCGGCATTCGGAAGACATGGCATCCCAAGATAGCCGAAGGAGCCAACACATACGGTGGGAGCACTGGATAGGGAACCCTTAGATAAGGAATCCAGGGTCTGGAGGCCGGTGGAACTCCAATTGAGGCTTGGCCATGGATACCACCACCGCCCTCATCAAGTGAGGAATCCTCCAGGGCCTGCAGCCTCCTGGGCACATTCCTTAATCAACGCCCCCACCGCATTGAAATGCAACAAGCTTTTAAGAATTCGGGGTTTCTCGCACTGCCATGCTCCAATGGGCTTCTTGGGCCCCGGAGGTGGCCCAGACGCTTCTTGGGCCCCGGAGGTGGCCCAGACCGGGCTCCGGAGGAGCCCTAAAAAGGATCGCCGCATGTCCACCAACGGGGCCCCAAGAGAGCCCCAAGAGGGCCCGAAGAGTACGGTGGGGGCAGTGGACAAGGAACCCTCAGATCAGGAATCCAGGGTCTGGAAGCCAGTGGAACTCCAATCGTGGATCGGCCATGGATATCACCGCCGCCCCCAGTGGATAAGGAATCCCCCAGGAACTACACCCCCTTGGGCACCTTCCTTAACGAACGCCCCCACCGTAGCCCAAGAGGGGCAGAAGAGTGCGGTTCAAGCGGTGGTAGGCCTTAAGAGGGTTCCAAAATGGCTCCAAGATAGCCCCAAGAGGCCTCAATGTGGCCCCCAACATGGGCCAGTACAGCTCCCGAGGACAATTCCAGGAGGCCCCTGTTAAGACCTTGATGGGTTGAGTGCTACCCTCGATATACCAAGCGACTGCTTCTGCCGTTGACATTTCCGCGCGACCATATGGCGGATCGATCACCTCCGAATAAATTCCCACATGTTCTAAACACACAAGAAACGATGCGAAAGGACAGAATATGATTTGCGCAGGTGTCAAAGATAAGAAAGATGGTGCGGCTGAATTCGCGAAGCGGTTGAATAAACTGATTATCCCTGAACTCGTCCAAGCGATCCCAATTGATAGCGTAAGGCTCGTCTGGATCAAAAGGATCTGCAATGCTGCCGGCCCGGATGCAGAATTGCCCCCGATTGTCAATCCACGGCCTGATGAACTTTGTGTCCACAGCGTCGACTACGCCCATCTTTAAGAAACCCTTTGGCATCCGACCAGTAACAGTGTAGCCCTTCACCCCGTAGATCTCGTCCACGGGGTCCTGGATGCCGCTGGCCTGCAGCAGATCGCCAGGATGCGTGGCGGCCCCCACAGACACGATGGCGGCGTCGAAGGGGAGAGATTGGGCCGTATTGGGCGGGAGGTGAACGACAACCTTGCCTGCGTAGTTGACCTCTCGCAGGCCCTCGTTACCGCCACCAGTCCAGTCCTTCCCCTACCCGTCCCCCCCAAAACACGTCGATCCACCCTCACGGAGAAGGGGCGAGGCGAGGCGAGGCGCTGGTCAGTCGTCCCAGAGGACGGCCCTACGAGAGACCGGCCTTGACGTCAGAGCGCCAAAAAACGACCATGTGAGAACACCTGCTGGCGGCCATATTATACTAGACTACTTTGAGCCCGCGGAAGCTCAATGCAGCGAAAAGAGAGGAGGGGGAGGAGAAATGACATCCTGAATGCTACGCGTTGCTGCCTACACTCCTGCGGAGGCCAAACCCCAACATCATAGCGCCGATGATTCCGGGATAGCTCCTTGTGAGGGCTAAAACGGTTGTAAGATAAGAAGACGGCAGGCAAGGCTACGCCAGCTCCTCGTCAAGGCCCCCAGGCAGGCATCCACGCAGCGAGTTGCTTGAAGCTGCAGCGTGTTCCGGCAAGCGTTTTCCCACTCGTTCCCAATACGCGTGCCGGAAGTCTTTCCGCAGCTCCTCCGAAGCTCCTTTCTCGAGCTCGCAAGCTCCCAATGCTCTCCAGCACCCCTGCAAGGGTCGCCCACAGCCACTTCACGCGTTTTGGACCGCGCCGCTATCCTGGTTTGGATGCTGCAAGTGATTCGCGACCGCGTCTCCCCGACCCCATCTCTAGAGGCCTCCTAGATGGGGCCCGAGTAGATTGGGTCGAAAGATCAAAGATCGC